AGTGTTCCTGTCACCCTGATAATAAAACCTTTGCTGACTTCAAAGCTGTTTATATCTGGTTAGGGACTCAGTGCACGAATTTGTGCACTTTGAAAGGAACTGTAGGCCATGAGGCTGTGGTGGGCACAGGGGAGGGTCTCGGCCCATCCTCTGTGTCCCTGCATGGCCCCTGGTCCCCTGTCTGCTGGCAGCCCCACTCCTGCCGCTGAAGCTCCCACATGCTGAGGGCACCTGGCCCGCCTGCACCCACTGATGGCACGGAGTGATTGGGGCCAGCGCCAACAGCGGGTGAGAGCAGGGCTGGTGCTGTCAGTGGGTGTGAGTGGTGGCTGCTGCCCTGATTGCCCCTCAGGAACAGGGAGAGGTGGGGAAGCCCTCAGGAGCTATCAGGACCAGCAGCCGCCGCTCACACCCGCTGATAGTAGAGCAATTGGGACCAGCGCTTGGTGCCAGCAGCAAGTGCGAGCAGTGGGAAGGACTGCAGCATGAGGTAGCAAAGAATTTTCAGTAACCACCAGAGGGTGGTCCTGATGACAGCGACCAGTGCCCCGCCTTGGTCTGGCGCCCCTGCTCACCTGCTCCACCATCCCACCACAGCCAACACCCACCATGTTCCGTGCTCTGCCATCTGTTGCCGACGCCTGCCATGTTCCGCCCCCTGGTGTTAGCGCACATCATAGTGACCGATTGTTCAGTTGTTCTGCTGTTTGGTCTATTTGCATATTAGCCTTTTATTATATAGGATACTTTGCTACTTTCTGATCTCATCTGATAACATTCATGCTCACCCCTCAATGCTCCGAACTCACTGCACCTTTTTCTTTTCTCCTAGATCAAGCCTGAACCCCTTGTAGGACCATTGCAGTTGGCATCCCTTTGAAACACTCTTTGCCTTCACCTTAGTGTAGCTAGTTCCCTATCATTCAGATCTAAGTTTAATTTTCATTTCCTCCAAGAAGCCTTTCCTGGCCACTCAGTTGAAAGCAACTACTGGCTCTTTTACATTCAATAGCTCACTCATCATCAATTGATATTTTTGTTTAATTATTAATTCATTTGTTTTCCAGCTTAATAAGCTAAACTCTAAGGCCCTATGAGAGCTTTGGCTCTGATTAATAGCTGGTTATTGTTATAACTACCTCGATGTTAAGACTAGTGTGGAAAGCATTCAGTAACTTTTTAAGTAAGTGAATGAGTGAATGACTACTTTAAGAACCAAAATACATTTTCAATTTAAAAATAAACTTTTGGAGGATGATGCCTGATGAAACCAAGGTCTCTCAAAAAAGTCAAGGTTGCTTAGCATGATACCAACAAGTAAACTGTTATTCTTATCAATTTTGCTATATTGTCCATTACATTGCCCTGCTTACTTTTTTGCCATAATACTCATCCTTACTAAGTATATTTTCTGCATATCTATTTGCTTAAAATCTATCTCCCAATACCACAAATGTAAGCTTGGAGGGAAGTGATTTTTTTCTTGTTTGCTCATCGCTGAATCTACAATCTAGGATTGTAACTCCAACATAGAGACACGAAAATTGTTTTGTTAAATGAGTGAAGATATAAGGTGTGATTGAAAGTGGTTGATTCAGGTCCTCTCAATTTGCAGTGAATAAATAAAAGCATCCTTACCTAGAAGTAGTGGACCATCTAGTCTAGGTAAACACTTTCGATGGTGTTCTGTATATGTCCCCATGGCCCAGTTTCCTTTGTACGTTGGGTAAGCCACTACAAACATTCTACCTTAGCTTTTTGCTCCCTGAAGAATAAGAACTAAAGGAAATAAACAAACCAATTGAACTTATCTTCTTAAAGCAAGCCCATCTTGAGAGTTTCAGTAATCACTATCAACTGATTATTATTCAGGGATAAATGAGAACAAAGGAGAATATAAGAAGGATGAAAGGAAAATCTGTGAGGCATCTTTTGTGCTGCTATGGATAAGACCTCTCTTGTTTATATGAATTTGTTAATAAAAGCTCTAAAGGCGGGGGAAATGCTTCCAGGCAGCAAAAGCCAAGTTTTGAAGCTCACAGGTCAAAGGAGAAATTAATAAAAGGCAGTGGGGAAATTAAGTTAAACAAAGGTGCAATGAGCCAGAGTTAAACCAATTAATTAGGCACGTTTTATTTTGTATATAACTGGGTTGCTGAAGAACTAAAAATAAACCCTAGATTTTAAACCAGAGTTTGGTATTCAACAAAACATTAAGTGGTAACATGCAGAAAACTCATACCTTTTTTTTAAGTAGTGTTATTTGATGAGTTCCTTCATCATTCATATGCTTCACCAGGGACATTTTTTTTTCTATTATTTGTGAAAAAAAACTATGCTTTCAATAACATACAATAGTCTTATGTTTTGCTTGAGTCTCTTCTGCATTCTTTTATGCCTATAAAAACTTTATCACTTTTGTGCAATATCAATTATAAAAATATTGATTTTTCAGCAGTATGTCTACCATTTCTCAGGCTGTGAAGAAGATTAACTTATACCTGACACCTGGCAGGTGTGAGGCGGAACCGGTCAGATGTCAGAACCACAGACAGGGGCGTCACACCGATTAAGCTTCAGTTCTGAACTTAACACTTTAGAGCAATGAGATCCTGCACAGATAACTTAGCTTCAGTTTCCTCCACTGTAAAAATGCTGTACAAGTTAAATACATTTGCAAATTCCTTGGCACAATGACTGGCAGAGAAATCTCTCAATTCAATGAAAATATTAATAGTACAGAGCAGTTTCCAATTTGTGGATGTCATCTTATTGCCAAAATTGCTTGTTTGGAACTTGAAACATATATTTCCACCAACAGGATGTTTTAAAACCATAATGAAATGGTTAGCAGAATGTAGGTTTATAGACTAATGTCCCAAACCTTCAATTACCAAAACATTATTTCAGTCCAGAATTTTCCTAATAGTACTCTGGCTGGGTGGCAACCTTGACCTGGTTTTTCCTTGACTTTCCTGGTTTCCGCATTGCAAGCCCCTAATCCTGGGAAGCCCTTCAATCTCAGATAAATCTAATCATTTCTTCACTTGGGACCGAATCACCATTCATTCATTGACTCATTCATCTATTTTTCTGCAGCACCAGGTACATTCTTAAGTGCTGTAGGTAAAAGGGCAAAACATGCTTAATAAACCCAGAGCCCATGAAGGAGACTGACGAATGAACAGCTAAATGCTAATGATGAAAGTGTGTCCAGGACGCCAGGGAGACACAGGGGCTGACCATTTCACACAAACTTGTGGTTTAGGGAGACTTCTCAGAGGAGCTGGTCACTAAACTGGAATTTGAATTAGATACACACCCCCAAACCAGAAATTTCTACTTCATTCTTTTGGGCATTTTTCATGTCTGAGCTTAGCATTACTTAAATATGCATATTAAAATGCCATCTCTTTAGATTCACTTTGGTCATTATCTAAACAGATTTTTAATAATTTCTAACATGCATATAATTTTTGTGTAATGTCATCAAAATATAAATATAAATAGCCACACACCCTTGATTTTATAGCAGTGCTTCCCACTCTGGAAATGCAGCTAGTTAAAATCTACTCTTAAGAACGCTAATTGGCCGAAACCGGTTTGGCTCAGTGGATAGAGCGTCGGCCTGCGGACTGGGGGGTCCCGGGTTCGGTTCCGGTCAGGGGCATGTGACTGGGTTGCGGGCATATCCCCGGTGGGAGATGTGCGGGGGGCAGCTGATCGATGTTTCTCTCTCATCGATGTTTCTAACTCTCTATCTCTCTCCCTTCCTCTCTGTAAAAAATCAAAAAAATATATTAAAAAAAAAAAAGAACGCTGATTGCCTGCTTGCTTTTTCATTATTTGAAATCCATTGCCCAAAGGAAATTATTGGAACAACATGTTAAATTGAAAACAAAACATAAATTATAATAAATAATATGGTTCTATCCAGAATAATGTAGTGGTTGCCCCAAAGTTAGCAAGTTAAACATGTTTCCTAAAGCTTGTTATCAAAGAACTGGCATTCTACTCTCTATACTCCGATAACTTTTAAAATATTCCTGAACATGCCTCTATCATTACAGCAAATGCTGCAGCAAGATGATAAGACAGAGACAGCTTACGGCAGAAAACTCTGAGGCCACGGGCACTGACTAACAGCTTGAGGAATTGGTTCTCCACCGGAGGGAGAAGCAGATTTATCACAGACTCTGACGGTGAGAGGCGGACTTACTCTCACACAGACTAGACCTTACGCTCCGTGGGGGGCAGGGACCACGTCTATGTTATTCACGGATGCTTTCCCAGTGCTGGGGACAAAATTCATGCACAAATGGTTGAGTAAATACCAAAACATGTGTAAAGGTCTTCACTCTGTATTTCTAACAAATGATCATTCAGAATCTTCTAAGCTCTAAGGACTGAAAAATCCTCTTTACCATGCATGACAATCATAACCCTCCTTGACAAGTGAGGCGGCTTAAGTTTCAAAGTCAATCAGTTACAGCACAGACCAAAGCCACCCATTCTATTGTGAAGGCCAGTTGGTGTCACTCTCTTCCTCACCCTCAGACTACGTGTCTCATCCTGGCTAGTAACCTTTGAGATATTTACAGTATTTTCTAAAAATATTCATATGCTTGAGAATGAATTCTCCCTGTCATAGTAAAGATATCTAATACCATGCCTTCTGTAGAATATGGACCAAAAGCATCAATTTAAAGACTTTTCAATTGCAATCATCACCTATCTTCAGCCCCATAGAGATTACAAATGCATGTCAGATAACAACCTTATTGACATGATGATTCTTGATAATTTTGAGCAACCAGGTAAAGGAAAAAACAAAAATTTCCATGTGTAAGCATTTTTTTTTAATGCTTTTTGGTCATGGCATTTTTTAACTACACACACACTTGATAATCAACACACCTGGCACATTTAAAATTTAATGGAAGAGCAGAAGCAGCAACTCTTTTTAAAATTCAAAATTTTTTTGTATTATTCTTGTTTACCTTTGAAGTTTACTACACCAACTGCAGTTGAAGCCAATCTGGGAGGATACGCAGGGGCCGCAACCGTTGAACTGGAGGCACGCTAGGAAACAGGAGAGAATGCAGTCATCCAGACTAGTTGGGAGGATGGAGAAATCAACAATAATGATGGCTCAGTCAAAATAAAAACAAACCACCCATCCCTGTATTCATGCAAGATGCCTGTCTATGCCAAGCACCATGTTATTATTATTGGTGAAGAGACCAGATCGTCAAACTTGCAAATCATTTTCCCACCTAGTTGTGTTCAGATGTTAACTTACTAGGTAATGGGGTCATCTCCACAGCTGAAATGTTGGTAATTTTTGACATTTGTAACTCTACTCGGTGGTATTCATAAATAGTTCTTCTTCGAACATCTATGAAAACAAAAATGGGGGAAATCAACTTTCCACATTTCTTTACCTATAAAACAAGTATTTTAATAATGAATGTAGAGCTATATACTTTTACCTGGTGCAGTTTTAAAAATAAAGATTTAAAATAGCAATCTCTCTGAAGAGATTGATTATTAAAAAACAAAACAAAACAAAACAAAAAAAACCTAAAAATTATGTCCCATGTATTCAGAAGTCTTTTCATCAGTAAAGTTAAAAATGATGATTAGGGTCTCAGATATCTCATGTTGATAGCTGGGTTCCAACTCATTGTCACTCAGAGCTTCCCTAAGACAATTTCTTGATAGATTTATTTATTTTGAAATATTTTAACATATGAAGTCAAGGAGGTAAGAAAACAGACAACATTTGACTGAAACTAATGCTAAAGTAAGTCCTTTAGGAATAGATAGAACTTAAAATTTTTTTCACAGCCTAAATGAAGTTGTTTTTTTGCCAAAATAAGAGTCTTACTGCTTTAAAGATTTAGAATAAATTCCTTTAATGAAAGGAAAAATAGAACATAAATCATTATAAAATCAGTATTGCTCTTTATTAAATATACAGTATCGCATCTAAGAAAGGTTAATTATTAATACTTATATTGCATTCAGGAATTTATAATATTGATCAGCATATCCAGAAGTGTCTCTGAGGAGATTTGACAAGAACTTTAATAATTAAAAATCAGATAAATATAAGCAAACATATTTTTTAAACAATAAAACTGTTTATAAAATATATTTAAAATACATTTTTAATAAAAAACCTGAGCCTTATACTGGTAAGCCTGCCTGAGTAGGTAAATTTCAACAGAAAAGTAATGTCATCAGCATTTTATTTAGCTTTTGATATACTTGTAATGACTGAAATGCATTTCCTGAATTCTGTCTTATCTGTCAGGGATTATTTGGGATGATTTAAGTTATTTTTTTAAGTATCACAATATCCAATCTTGGGGAAGTAATATGTCATAGTGGTTAATAGCACATGGGGCTGTTAAACACATATCTCTGTGTTTCTACTTGGTATCTGTGTGACGTTGGGCTCCTTGGTGAGCCTCTTTGTGCCTCAGTTCCTCCATCTAGAAAATAGCAATAATAGTACCTACATTATTGAGCTGCTTTGAGAGTTAAAATGAGATAATAAATGAGAAAACTTAAAACAATCCCTCTCATGCCCTAGCAGTTTGGCTCAGTGGATAGAGTGTCAGCCTGTGGACTGAAGGGTCCCAGGTTTGAGTCCCATCAAGGGCATGTACCTTGGTTGCAGGGTAGATCCCCAAGCGGGTGTGGGAAGCAACTAATTGGTATGTCTCCCTCACATCGATGTTACTCTCCCTCTGTCTCTTCCTCTCCCTTCCACTCTCTCTAAAAATCAATGGGAAAATATCCTTGCGTGAGGATTAACACCCAAACAAACAAAACAATCCCTTTCACATTGCAAGTGCTCAACAGTGACTGTCTTCAGTATGGCAACCTGCATTGGCTACATGCTGCATATAGTGGTCTAAATTCTGTAGCTCTCACCTCACTGAAACCACACTAAGGCCTTGAAATCAGGCTTCTAAGAACTGTCTGCCATCTTACCTTAGACAGTGTTCAATTTTGATTAAAGTCAACAGACCCAACAATGGTCTCCTTTAGGACATAACGCAGAAATAGTGTGGTGACTCAAGAGAGCCAGTTGGCTTTTAGTGAAAGTGTTTAGGAAATGTGGATGCATACACATCCAGGAGGGAATTCAAACATCTACTTATACCCTGCATGTATCTCTACTTCTCTCCACTCATATCCTTCCACCCATTTCTGGTTATTCACCATGAAATTCTGCTCCAGAAGAGGAAGGGGCGGGTGTGGCCTCCAAATGAACTCTTCTGGGGCTAGGAATGATTCTAGAGCCACTCACTGAATATATCTTCAGGTTTATCAGATTGGAAAATAATGGTTAGAACCCTAATCCAATTAATTTCTTTTTGGTGTAAATGAAAGATGCATATATACTTTTCAAAGTGTAAAATATATTGAACATTAGAGAAAATGCTGACTTCATGGTATTTAGTAAGGTTTCAAGGCACATGAGTCATGTCTTTTTTCTTTTTTCCTTTTTTTTTAATCCTCACCCAAGGATATTTTTCCATTGATTTTTATTTTATTTATTTTAAATATATTTATTTATTGATTTCAGAGAGGAAGGAAGAGGGAGAGAGAGAGAGAGACATTGATGATGAGAGAGAACCATCGATCGGCTGCCTCCTGCACACCCCCCACCAGGGATCAAGCCCACAACCCAGGCATGTGCCCTTGGCTGGAATTGAACCCAGGACCCTTCGGTCCACAGGCCGACACTCTATCCACTGAGCAAAACCGGACAGAGCTCCATTGATTTTTAGAGAGAGTGGAAGAGAGAAGGAAAGAGAGAGAAATACTGATGTGAGAGAAACACTTGAATTGGTTGCCTCCTGCATGCACCCTGACCAGGGCCCAGGCCAAGGAGGAGCCTGAAACGGAGATATATGCCCTTGACCAGAATCCAACCAAGGACCCTTCAGTCCACAGGCTGACACTATATCCACTGAGCCAAACCGGCTAAGACTTGCTTTTTTTTTTTTTACTTTTAAGGCATATAAAACATTACTCAGCTTCTGCCTTTGTCTAAAGAGGATGTTTTCCTAAATACTGCTTTACCCTGTATTGTGCTAAACAATTTACTCCTCAGAAATAAATAAATGACATAGCTTTGCTACTGGGATGGAGGTTTTGAGTCTTCATACTAAAGTTTGCACAGTATCAGCCGTATTAGTAGATGCTTAAAATACTAGCTGTCTTTTCATTTCATATTATACTTTGAAGAGCTCAAACGACTAAGGTAAGGACTTGGAAGCCTCAGGGAGTTAATTATTGATCATGCATACGGGTGAAGGGAAAGAGTTCTATTGCCTGCTCAGACACCTCCAACTATGGGGAGGAGATTACCTTACCAAAACCAAAATTAATGAGAATAACTGATATTTGATGACCTGCCAATTAATGACAGCTTCCAAATGGTCATTTCTGTTGCATTTCAGAGATACCACTGTCAACGACAAGTAATTAGGAATCTATTTACTCATAGCTCCTGCCAATGCTAGGAGCTTTCATTTGATTCCAGGAATGTATTTAGCCCATGTGTCTTGTTTAGAAAGTCAGACAAAATAATGTTGTACCAAACATTCAGTCACGGCTTCTACTCTTTCGTACAACTTTACAAAATCAAGATCCACTGTAATGCCCATTAGGAGCTTTTAAAGTTGAAAAAAGAAAACAGATCTCTGAGCAGACTAACAGAATAAAGTTCAAGTTCAGCAATAAAAATCTTCAGGGGATATGATTCAGGGTGTAACTGCTGAATGACATTTTTAGAAATTCTGAGCAGTATCTGCGGGAGAAACAGAGTGATCGTATGGAAACACCAGGAATCCTTTCCAATCAATAGTCACTTTAGCCAAAGTAAACACGTTTAATGAGCACACTGTGGCACGGTTAGCTATGATAAGTTTACTAACCTGCCTTGAAAGCTAACATTCACATAGAAAATGTATGAGTAATTTCCAAAACTGGCTGATTCTTACATTTAGATAAATATTATAATACTTTGCATTATCATGTAAATTATTTGCTAACATTTCCTTGTTTACGTGTTGCCAGTGCTTAATGACTGGCCCAAATGATTATTTCTTATTTTCCATTCTAGTTCCAATTGAGTCTTCCACACACTATAATTTGCTGAACACTCTTCAACGTAAATAGCATACATCCCACAATTACAATTTCATCCGCAGGACAAAGACTCAGAGGAAAATAAAACCAACACAGACTCTTGAGAAAAGAAGTGCACTGTTGCAGCAATTATAAGCTTTCCAAACAAAAATGCAGTGCATTAAGAGAATTAGCTAGTTGTGGGTGTTAAATAAAGCACCTACAAATAGAAGATGCTTTTGCCCCAAACTTTTAAAAAATATTTCCTCTATAGTTCTAATTCTATCAGATAGCCGTGTAATGCAGCATCGGATAAGGCAACATAAAGTTTAGGTGACTATGAAGTGCTCATCTCAACCTCTCAGATGGTCCCCTTATCATTTCCTCACTGCTTCAGAGTTTCAGGGCACTGCGAAAACCTAATGGCCAGATTTCATAAGTTACTTGAGCATGCATACAAAAAATCAGAAACTTTAAAAACAATCCTCGCTTTTGTTCTCCTTCCACTTGTATTTACTAATGGCTTAAACAAGATGCATTTCTTGAACTCCTTCAGAAATCACTTTGCCCAAGTGTCAGGAAAGTAAGCGGTCCATGTGTTGTCACAGTGGGTCGGTGGGCTGTGGGCTGCAGGCCTGCCTGACGTCATGGCTCCCATCGGCTCAGGGACTCTTGCTCTGAACATGGGAGCTTCCACCAGGGGGACACATCCCTCCGCTCCGAGACATGGGGAGATTGTGTAATGCACATTTGCAATGTCATTAACTTTTTTTAAGAGAAACAAAAATTGAGACTTTATTAAATAAAATTGGGTAAAACGCAGTACAATTTCTTTATTTTAAAACCAAGGTTTTGAAAACCTTTTAGTGTTAAGTCACTCAGAAGCTTGGCACTTAGATAAGAAAATGACCCCATATTTTTAAGAAACTAAATTTCCTATAGCACAATGCAATTGGAAAAATAAGCATGTGGACATGTTTATAAATGTAGGCAACCATATTAGTTAAAAATAGAAGTATTCTGTATTGTAGGGAAGTGTAAGTTAAAATAGAAATAATCATGTAACAGGAAAAAAGTAAGAAATAAATTTGAAGGCATATAAAAAGGGAAAAGTGGAAAATCTCCAAGGTCATAATTTAAAACAAAAATGGCAAATAACAACTTGAGAGAAAAAATCAGCATAAATAATTTTTGAGAATTGTCTTGGCTACTTTCCTATGCCTTCCATAGGCTACCACAGAATGT